TCTTGTAGGAGGTGTACTCCTTTGTGAAAATGATGGCGAACTCCTTGAAGTTGCCTATTGACGCGGACGGTAGGGTGTGGAACCAATCCTGAGCTGCTCCTCACAAAGTCATCACGAACACTTTGCACATCAGGGCGTCGTCTGCCTTGTACAGGATCATGGCGCTCTTGAAGTGCCTCAAATGGCTCTCGAGGTCAGAGTCCCCCTTGAATGGAGTGATGTATGGCGTTGTAAACCACTTCGGCGGCGGAGCTTGTTCCACCTCGTCGGTAAAGGGCGAGCAGTCAACTCGATCAATTTCCCTGCATAGGGCCTCCTCCGTGCTTCCTTTGAGTCGGAGACCTCGGAGTTGGTCATTTACTAGCTACGCGACATCCTCTGCTCGCAGGGTTGGAGTCTCGGGCCGACGTCTTCAGTGCCTCGAGCGCGACTGGCTAACTTCTTCTCTAGCTCCCAAGGGTCGATCCCCTTAGTTGCCCTGCCGGTGGGACAGGAGAGAAGGTTGAGTTTGGGAGGATCCCTCCACAGCTTGTCGTCGTATGTTGGACCTCGAGAGGGCTGGTGAGTGTTGATCGTCATCCTCTGCTTGCAAGGAAGGTCGTTCAGGTCGACATCTTCGGTGCCTCAAGCGTGATTGGCTAACTTCTTCTCCGGCTCCCAAGGGTCGATCCCCTTGGTTGCCCTGCCGCTGGGGCAGGAGAGAAGGTTGAGTTTGGGAGGATCCCTCCACAGCTTGTCGTCGTATGTTGGACCTCGAGAGGGCTGGTGAGTGTTGATCGTCATCCTCTGCTTGCAAGGAAGGTCGTTCAGGTCGACATCTTCGGTGCCTCAAGCGTGATTGGCTAACTTCTTCTCCGGCTCCCAAGGGTCGATCCCCTTGGTTGCCCTGCCGCTGGGGCAGGAGAGAAGGTTGAGTTTGGGAGGATCCCTCCACAGCTTGTCGCCGCGACCGCTCACGAACTCGAGCTCCTTGTGGACCTAAGCGAGCACGAACATGGTAGTGTGGCCATAGCCTCTCGAGCTCATTGGTCCTGGGTCCTAACCTCGAACGGCTTAGAGTACGGCTCGCAGCTGTCTGCGTCTCGTCTGCACGATCTCGCTCTCTCCCCTGTCGGTTTGCCCTTGTCTGACTAGCCTGGGACATCTCGAACTGCTCGCCAGCATGCTCGTGTGCCCTCCTCTCCTCGTCACGGGGTCCAAGATTGGGGCCTTGATTCAAGTTGATCTGC